GGGTTTATATATATATATATATATACACATATATCATACATACAAATATATAATAGAAGGGATCGATACTCTATCGTCATAAAAATTGGACATAATTGTTTTCCAGCTATGATTAATTATTCTCCGAAGTGATGGAGATTTTTATTTTTCTTTTGAAATATTTATGTAATTTGATTACCTGCCAAAACCAGTTTTAAAGCCATCTTTTTTAATTAAGATTCAGATAAATTTATCGAATTTTATGAGTTGTTTAGCTGTTCATTTTTCTTTAACAAACAGATTTTAGAAACTTTGATAATATTATCTATGTAGATTATGTATTATTTTACTTTTGGTAAGCTATTTAGTGTTATCAATATGATTTTCCCTATTTATATTTGCTGATCAATGCCCTTTTTTAGTCAACTTTGGCATCATCCTATAGACTAGTTTCCTCATTTCTTGGTTTACTTCATTCATGACTCTTCTTATTTTATCTGTAAGTTTCTTTATGTGTTTTAATTTTATGCTGGGTGGTTTTTCTTGAGGTTTGCATTGCAATTTTACTAAATGATCTGAATAGTTAAGCATATTAATAAAATTAATATTTCAAACACTGACATATAATCTATGAATATTAATTGTTTAGCGGTAACTCGAAAGATGAACCTGGTGCAATTGTCTGCCGTGTTGCTCAATCGTTTCTGCGTATTGGTTCATTCCAAATTCATGCATTCAGGGGCAAAGAAGACCTTGATATTATACGCACTTTAGCAGACTATACCATTCGCCATCATTTTCCTCATCTTGAAAAGATGAGCAAAAGTGAGGATATTTCTTTTGGAGCTGGTCTAGAAGGATCTCCAGCTGTGGACTTGACGTCTAACAAGTATGCAGGTAGCATTCCTTATAAACTTAGTTATGTCCGTAACCAAGCCTAAAATAGTTAGCAAAAGGGCAAAGCTGATGACGATGATGTGTGTATCTAGGACCTTGTACTTACCAAAATCTATATGTTATTTTCATGAATCTTACTAGCTTGGTCGGTTGAAGTTGCGGAGCTTACCGCTTCCCTGATTGCCGGATGGCAGGGAGTTGGCTTCACTCATGGTGTGCTGAACACTGATAACATGAGCATACTGGGGTTAACAATAGATTATGGCCCTTTTGGTTTCCTGGATGCTTTTGATCCAAGCTATACCCCTAATACCACTGATCTCCCGGGAAGAAGGTATTGTTTTGCAAATCAGCCGGATGTTGGCTTATGGAATATTGCACAATTCACTGCAACATTGTCAGCTGCAAATTTGATCAACCAAGAGGAAGTAAACTATGCTATGGAGAGGTGATATGTTCTTTACGCTTTGCTGATATTTGATCTCTAATTTGTTTTGATTTGGAGTTTGAGTTCATCTATTTTGTTCAGATATGGAATAAAATTTATGGACCAGTATCAGTCTATAATGACCAGGAAACTTGGTCTAACCAAGTATAACAAACATTTGATTAGTAAGCTTCTCAACAACATGGCTGTTGATAAAGTTGACTACACAAATTTCTTTCGTCTACTTTCAAATATCAAAGCAGATCCCAAGGTTCCTGAAGATGAGCTTCTCATTCCTCTCAAAGCTGTGCTGTTAGATATAGGCAATGAGAGAAAGGAAGCTTGGATAAGCTGGATGCAGACCTATATTGAGGAGGTATGATTTCAGGAGTGTGAATGTCATCTTCGTTTTTGTGTTTTATTTTTTGTTTGTTTAACCTGTTGAAGAAGCTGCTATTTTTTGCTGCTTCGACAACAACAAAAACAAGCTTTTATCCCACTAAGTGGGGCCGGCTACATCAATCTTTTTTCTCTATTGCGTCCTATTGAGTATCATATTTTCTTTTAATTCTAATGAATTAAGATTATTTTTTATACTATATGCCCAAGTCTTTCTAGGTCTACCTCTGTTTTTCTTAACATAAGTCGAATTTAAAGCATCTACTCTCTTAACACAATGATCTAAAAGATTTATGTCATGCTTTTTCAATAAATTTTATGCTGGTTGTCAACTACCTAACGTAACCCTCCACTTTTAACATCGAAGGCATGGGACCCAACAATGATAGTGTTAAATTCTTCGTTGCGTCAAACAATTCTATTCCTCTATTGTTTTAATAGACTACTCAAGCCTGCAATCCTAAGAGGGGTAGTTTTATGTTCTTTTTTGGTTTTTATATACCAAATTTGAATTGAGAAATATTTGAAGATCTTGACGTGATGGGGAACGAGCAAAAGGTAATTGCAGGATGCTATAAATACTATATTAAGATCTATGTAATGGCTTTTCAGAAGTAAAGACCAAATGGTTTCAGATGTAATGAACATATAAATTAGGAACTTATGGAGATGTTGTACACGTTTGGACCTTATAGTAGTGAGTTTTGTAATGTGAAAATATATTTAAAGAGACAAAAGGAGGGGGATAATATAGTGCTAGCGTGTTCTACTTTTTATTTTATTTATGTTCTATTTTTCACCATAAAGAAAGAGGGAGGAAATGAGCATGAGAAATGTTCCGCTAAGCTTGATTTTTGGGATCTTTTATGATGATTTGGTTGCTCATCAAATATTTAGTTTTTTTTTATTATTTTTTGTTATGATTAGTTCATAGATAGTTCGTATGATGTCTATTTTATTGTATAATTTATTTTATGGGAAAGTTCAACTTTGTATTTTGTATGTGACGATTGAATTGAATGGGGAAAGTCATATTTAGTAACTGTAGTAATATTAGGACTCCTATAATATGCATGTTTTATTTTAGTACTTTATTTGATGTGTAGTCTAGACATCATAAAGTTTATCACAAGTCAATATTTAAATATTTTGTTTTCATTTGGATTAGAACAGTTTTATTTCACAATAGTACTGAAGCCTTATCTCTATTAAAACATGAGCCACTTGCGTTTATCAGTATTGTTTTCTGGCCAGTATTTGACTGAAGTCACAGGTTAATTCACGCAATGGCATCCCTTATTTTTCCAATGCAGGGATAAATATATTTGGGAGAGTGGGGTATGGAGGGGGAATTTAATATTTGACTGAAGTCACAGTTTTATATTTTTGGGAGAGTGGGGTATGGAGGGGGAATTTAATCGCAGACGCAAATACATTGTATATGCAAAGCCGTGAACCCACGATCTTTTGGTTCAAAGACTAAGCTCTCAACCAACAGGCTAAGATGGCATATTTTTCCGTTGACTTGAGCTACAAAAATGTTTTTCTTTGCGGGAGATTTACATTAATAATTATTCATTTACATGTCTAATAGCTCGGCCTTTATATTTTGCTTATATGACTTTTTCTAATTCTAAAATGACAAAATTATCACTGACATTAACCTCATCTACTGAGAAACACCATTTTACTTATATTTTTTGCTGTTGTGTTGTCACTCTTGTGCTACATAAATAAATATGTAAATATAGATTTTAAATATGTAAATATATAAGAATTCATGGTCGGTATGTAAATCCCCAAGTTTCTAATTGGTCAAACTGCAACTTTTGTTGCCTTTGCCTTGTGCTACAAAACTTCAAAACATCAAATATCTACGGAAGGCCACCAGTTTTTATGAAATCTCATTTTGATCAAACTAAATGCTTCTTTTATCATTATCATGAAGCTATAATGTTCTTGTTATCAATTCTTCCTATAACACTCTCTCATATGTTGCTCATAGTTGTAGAAAGTAGTCATGCAATGTAATTTGATTGCAGAAGCTCCCTAATTTAACATCACCTTCTGTTTTTTTTTTTTTTTTCTTTGTGTGCATTATTTAGTTGGTCGCTAGCGGCATCCCAGATGAGCAGAGGAAAGCTGCCATGAACTCTGTGAATCCAAGATATATCCTTAGGAATTATCTATGCCAGACAGCTATTGATTCAGCTGAGCAAGGAGACTACGACGAGGTTCGCCGTCTTCTTAAAGTGATGGAAAGCCCTTATGATGAACAACCAGGAATGGAGAAATATGCGAGGTTGCCGCCTGCATGGGCTTATCGCCCCGGTGTCTGTATGCTTTCTTGTTCCTCTTGAGACTGTCTAGTTTATGCTGTAATGCTGTACAAAATTTATCATTATGCACACAAAATCTTATAATATGTTTAATCCAGAACTATCTTCATTACAAATTAGGTGAAGATCACGGCAGTTTTCTGAGAACATCTTGTATCCGGTGAGATTTTCTCCTGTTAAATAAATGAGTTTGCAGTTGTTTCAGAATTAAAGAGAGTCGTCTTAGATGGTTTGGTCACATTAAACGTCGACCATCTGATGATCCGATTAGAAGAGTAGATGTTTTAGATTCGACTTATGTTAAGAAAGACAGAGGTAGATCTAGGATGACTTGGGCTTTATTGTATAAAAATTGTATAAAAAAAATGATCTTAATTTCGTAGAATTAAATGAAAATATGATTCTAAATAGGATCTAATGGAGAAAAAGGATTCTTGTAGCCGACCCACGTAGTGGGATAAAGGTTTTGTTATTGTTTTTGTTGCCGTTGTTTCAAAATTAGATTACGTGTTATTCTCGTTCTGTATCGGCTTGAGACCCAACAAACTTATTTTGGTTTTAGACCGGCGGACATCCTTTTTTCACATTTTGCTGTAGAAAAGACCTTTTTGCAGGATAGGGTGATATGAATTAATGGCTGCAACTAGGGGTGTAAACGAGCCGAACACGAGCGAGCCAAGCTCAGCTCGTGTTAGGCTCGTTTATATTTCGAGCTCAAAAAATGTGTTCGTGTTTGGCTCGTTTGCTTAACGAGCCGAACACGAGCTGTTGACGAACAAAGAGTACTTTTAACAATCCTAATCATGTAGTTATAACAATAAGAGTTTGAGCTAGATTTAAAAATTATTATTTATATTAAAACATCATTTGAATCTAATTTAATAATTTTTATTTTATTTTCTTAATCAATATTTTAATTGATTGTAAATTTTTGTAGCCTTGTAGTCAATTAGTTTTTTTTTAAATACTACTTTATATATATATATATATATATATATATAAACTTGATGAGTAGTATTTCGAGTCAAATACATACTTGATGAGTAGTATTTCGAGCCAAAACGAGCCGAACACGAACGAACACTTCTTAGTTCGTGTTCGGCTCATTAACTTATCAAAAGAAATTAACGAGCCGAACACGAGTTTCTTAACAAGCCGAACACGAGCTGTTCGCGAACAACGAGCTGTTTTGACAGTCCTAGCTGCAAGTTTTGTCTTTTGGCTCGTGATAGAATTACTTCTTTTTATTTGATCAATATGAAAAAGGAAATATAGCTCTTTCAGTAGTTATTTGCAGCGGAGATTTTTATGAAATAGTAGAATTTAATGATATTTTTTCATGTTAATTTAGAGATTTTAGTTCACACGCATTAAAAGAGTACAGGTTTTATGTGCAACGTTGATGGGGGGTTTGGATGCAATATGCCTTCTAGATAGTTTAGGGTATAAAAATGTCTAATGAATATGAACATTAAATATAATGTAGGAGTGTGATAGTGGGGTTGACAATCATAATTTTTCTTGTTTTGTTATTAGAAATATCACGACCCGGCCTGAGATTTGGAATTAATTAAGACGGGGGACATATAATCGGACGGTGGAAAATAAATTATTATATTAATTTATTATTTAACAAATGAAAGATTCGCTAATTAAATTAAATTAAAACATTGAAATTAGATTTATCTCGTTACTGGCTGTCTGCGTCAACTATAAATGTTTTCTCTTTTATCGCTCATCATTTAATCAATCCATTTAATCTGAAAAGATAGTTAAAACAACTGTGAGCTAAACGAACCAATGAATACTGATACTCTTAGACTACAACAATACAATGAAAAAGAACAATATGCATGTTGGTTAAGCTTCATTATGAATGAATATATAAATTTTTAACCTACTATTCAAAGTTTTTATATCAATATCTTATAATACCATTTCATATCTATAGAACTGTCACGAGAGTGCCGTTTAAAAAAAAAGACATCAATATTAATATGATTTTTCATTTACGTGCACGAGTACATTTATGTTTCCTCACAAGTACCATCAAACGGTGACTCCATCATATTCAGTCATGCACATACAAGCAGTCAACATAAGCGTATGTATTCACCGCATTCAATTCCACTTACTATATAAAATATACACTAAATGCATGAGTAAATAACTACCATAATCACAACAATATGATCAACAAAGAAAAGAACATCTCAATCAGAATAAAACACCCATAAATATCATCAACTGCAAACATATTTGAGTAAAAAATAAACTATTATTATACTTTAAAAGTATGAGTACTCATATTAATTTCAAATGATTTTCTTTACTTTTAGACTTTGTCACCGCATCTAAGTTACCACCTATAAAATATTCAAGTTACTATTTTATTATTATTATTAATTTAATTAACAAATTTCATTATTAAGATTGCAATACCTAAACTTTAGATTTGAAATTAAACTTTAATAATTGTATTACTTTAAAATTTTATTAAATAATTTATAATATACAATATATGTAATTTAAAACCATTACCTCTCCAAACTCTTGGCCCGACTCGGCTCCGCACGCTCCGCCCCTTCCCCCTTTCCTTTCTTCTCGAATACTATGCTAGAAGGTTCGTCTCTTGCACAACTTCTCTCTTTTGTTCGACACTTGGTTAGGGCACAATGGAAGCTCCTCTTTCGTCGTCCTCTTCGACTTGGCTTGATAGTAGCACTATCGTCTGCTCCAGAGTTCGGCTCCCACACACGAGCCTTCTTCCTCTTGCTTACTCTTCCTCTGCACAACGACCTCGCTGACTTCTCTTCACGTGTCATTCTCAGGTAAGTGGGCATCTGACTTATGTACGCAAAAAAAAAAAATCACTTCTTCAACTTCTCGATCTCGTTCCTCTCTCCCCCCTGTTTCGTTTGCCCGACCTCGTGCTTCTTTTCCTTCACTATTTAGTTTCTTGACTGCCCGCTTCCTCATCCCGACTCCTCGCTTCTTATCTCCTTCGGCTTTGTGTTTCTTCTCTCGGGTAAGCATATTGTTACAATCTTTCTCACTTATAAAAATTTAATCCTGAAAATTTATAAACAAACCTTAAACGGATCAATATTATTTATTAATGAAATTAGAGTTCATTGGTTAAGATGAAGGTAAAGACTCGATATAAGACAACTTATATATACGTCGGAATACATAACTACTGAATCACGAAAACATGCCAAGAAAACAAATCATACTCGCCACCATCAACAACAATAAGTTCTGCATTCTCACTATGAGTAAGGGAATATACTCGAGGTAGAACAGGTTCCCTTGGTTGACCTTGAGTAAGAGCTGAAGCTGTAGACTCTATCTTTTTCTACCTGCCTGCGAACTTCTGTGAAGAAGTTCCGCCTGATTTCTAATTTTTGACGCTCTTCGGAGAATACCTTGTTATATGACCAAGTTGACTGGCACCAATAGCAATTGTTAGAGCCCATCATACATTATCCTTTATGCTGTCTTCCACATTTAGCACAAGTGACTCTAGTACCCTGAGTTGTGCCTATGCTAACACCTCCCAAATTATTCTTGGACTTTTCTCATTAGATCTTTTTGAGTGACCTACATGTTCTTCTGTAGTTTTTCACTTCTGTATCTTGTTACGCTTCTAAGTAAACTAATAGGCAATCTCTACTATTTTAGCTCGTTCACTATGAGTATTTATCTATTCCCAAATGTACTAACGACTCTCTGATAGAATCCTTTAATCTGAAAGAAATCTATAGCACTTTTTTTTTTTTTTTTGAGTAGCGACTAGTTGTGGTGCATATCTTGACACTACAGTGAACTCTACTTCGTACTGCATGATTGTCTTCTCTCATTGCCTCAATTTGATGAGCCTGACCTGCATTTTTCTTCGAGCGAATAGGGGTACAAATCTTTCTCTGAATAGCTTCATGAATTCCGCCCAAATAACTATCGTGTTGTGTAAGTTCCCTAACATATCCTATGTTGCCCACGCCATCACCTTTCGGCTTCACCATCCATCATAAACATCGCAAACAATACTCTTCTTTCATCCGAACAAGTCATGTTATCTAGTATTTTCTCTATCCTAGTTAACCAGCATCGATTGGGTCATGACATAAATTATAAGTGACAATCATAAGCAGATCTTCTCCTTATCCCCTCAAATGAGTTTAGTTCCCTAAATCAAGTGATGAGCCTAATTTTCATTGTTTCCATATAAGATTTCACTCCATTTCAATTGGGTCTTCAGTTCCTTTGAACAAAGGTGGACACAAATATTGAAATATCATCAAGTACTTATCTATACAATATCATTTCCGATAGGTTGCGATTTGAACTCTTGAATAAACTGAGTCATCGCCACCATTATTTGAGTGCGGACATTCGCGTTCATATTAATTGCATGTCGTACTTCTTCATTTTCTATCAGATTTTCTTCTTCTATGATTTGAGGTGTATCACTACGCTTGAATGGATAATTATTAACTTTAATCTTTAATTTTTATTTTTATTAAAATTTTCTTATAATTATCCTATTTATTTTTTCATCAATATTAAATTAAATTATTCTAAACTTTGGCCCTAATACCACTTTTTTTCATGACCTGACCCAGAGCTTGAAATTAACCAAGATGGGAACATATAGTCGGACGATGAAAAATAAATTAATATATTTATTTACTATTTAACAAATAAAAAGTCACTAATTAAATTAAATTGAAGCATTAAAATTAGATTCACCTCGTTACTAGTTGTCCGCGTCTTCTATAAACGTTTTATCTTCTATCGCTCAGCTTTTAATCAATTAATTTAACTTGAAAGGTTAGTTAAAACAACTATGAGTTAAATGAACTATTGAATACTCGTACTTCTAAACTACACCAGTATAAGAAAAAATAATAATATGCATGTTGGTTAAGCTTTGTCATAAACCAATATAAACTTTTAAAATGCTATTCAAAAAGTCTATATCAATATCTTATAATATCATTTCATATCTATACAGCCGTCAAACGAGTAATGTCTAAAAAATTGTGTCAATTAAGACACATTAATA